GTCGCGGCTAAAAAAACAGACTGCTCCAAACAAGTAACAAATAATCTGAATTATTTCTACATATTCTAGATATACCAAAGCACAACATCTGTTATTAAATAACCACAATGTCACCCCAAAGTTGTCGGTTTTGTGATCTCATATGCACATTTTGGAGGCACATAAAAGTGGAGGAAAGACGATGTTATCTCAGTTAGCAATTTGAACACCAGAGGGATGTGCAGAAATACAGAATGATAGTAAAACAAGGATTCTTATCCATTTTCATGATATCGAGAGTAACAATTAGTTGACCAGTAGCCGGTCAAATACAACGAGTCGTTGAAAGTAGCTGCGAGTTCCTTTAAATGCCGTCAACAACATGTGGAGTCTCTCATACGCCATCATTATAGTTGGCCTGATGTCTGAACAGTATCGTCTACTGTTATGGTGTGAACGCCTTTTCCAAGTAGGTGAAGCATGATAATGATTAACTATACCTGTATTAGTTAGTATTAAGCTTATAGTATTTTTAACATTACATTCTTTATCTAGCCACTTAGGGATTTTAATATAATATAGTATAATACTGGTATTCCAACCACATTATGTTCACCATACACATTGACAACGATGCATTTCGCTCAATCCAGAGCTCATCAAACCTACTGGGACACAACAAACACAGTAATGGTCGGAACACAATGGTTGTTGTATAGGCTACCGATGACAACTCCACAACTATTCCCAATTTGTGCTTAACCTAAGTCTGCAACTGGCAGATCTCAGCTTCCTAAATGAATCAACAGTTCAGAGAAACAACTGGACGACAAGTCAGCATGAAAATGGCCAAAGACAGGCTTCATAAGGTCAACCTTTATACAGGCACGCGTGTGGCACACTGGTCTAGGCAGGGATCAGTATAAATGATCAGCTTGATCTTTATATCTATAACACAACGCTAGGAATACCATATAATATAGGGATGTAGTATTGGAACCATCAGCGTTGCGACATACAGGTGCAGTTGGTCGGAACTCCTTCCTAATGGATGATAATGCCCTCTCCCCTCACTGGTCAGCATGTTCCAGGGTGTGAATCCAATTCAATACGTAAGAGATACGCTTGACAGCACGCAATCCGCCTCCAAGAACTGTTGATGAGCTGGAAGTAATTCAGATGGAAGTGGTGGAGCATATTACCCCAGCAGCTCATTGATTCACTCATTTTAATTAAACAAACCGTACCGAAATGCAACTTGCAATAATTTCTGATCATTTACTTGGCTACAGATCCTGTAGTAACAAATGAGCTTTTGTGAGCATGAACTCTGTTCGTAAATATTTGCATATCAGATCACATGGCTGATCACCTGAATGTAAAATTCCAACGACATTATCTATAAACATTAGTTGTGCCTTGCCATAGCTAGAAAATAGAAGACTCGAATTACTCTTTGCATTGTTACACTTAGCAAGAAACGTACGAGTCTACTTTAAAATAACATTTGTAACTTAAAAAAATCCATCTTATGCAAGTAAACATTACATATTTAATAGCGCAGATTTTATTTGTTTGTTTGAAGTTAAGCACAAAGCAAGACAATGGACTATTTGTGTTCTGCCCACCACGGGTATCGAAACCGTATTCTAGCGTTGTAAGTCCACAGACATGCCGTTGTGTCACTGGGGGGGGGGGCAATAGCATAGAACAAGCTTCAAGCGTTGAAGTTTAATGTAGAGCCCCTGATGAGCTGGAAGATACTCAAAACTAATAACAGCATTTAGTATGATGAAGAAATAACCATAAACTCAAGAACTTATTTCCACTGTAAGAGTAATAGTCGAAGGTTTCTCCTGAAGAAGTTGTGGAAACGAAGCGTTAAGTTTCTGGAGGTTAACATCACACTTCACGTCTAAGTTACTCCATTCAGCACTTCATACAACAACGTTGAATACTAACAAAATTGTCTAGCTTGTATATCCTTGCAGGTGAAACCCATTTGATGAACTGAGTGCTATTCACATCATTGTTCAGTTTCTATATCCTTACAGACAAGAAAACCTAAATTACACAGTCACTGGATCTTAAATACTGTTGGCTTGTGATAAAACTTTTATTCTTTACACCAAAACAGTGTAAGATAAACACAGAAAGATAAAATAGTTATAGAGTACTTGTTTGTTTGAAGTTAAGCACAAAGCTACACAATGGACTATCTGTGCTATGCCCAACATGGGTATCAAAACCCGGTTTCTAGCATTGTAAGTCCGCAGACATACTGCTGTGCCACTGGAGGGCTATAGAGTACTTAAAGTTAATGTTGATAAATCTGTAACAGTTGATAACGAAATATTATAAAACATTTGGAAAACAAAGCCAAGTCTTTGTTAAACAACAGATAAAGTCAATATAGACATGATATCAATAACTACAAGAACTGCTTGTCTGGAGGAATTATCAGTTAATCATTTAACACAAGTGTAAGAAAAAAAATCGCTGTTATTCTGATAAGATTTTCTTATTGTGTTTCAGTTCATTAAAAGAAAATAACGATAAAAACACACAAAATGTCCGGTCATTAACGGTGAAAGTACATTGAACGTATAGCTTAAATGACCACAGAAAACAAAACGTCTTTTCCATAATTTCATTCACAGACTAGCCACTGTCCAGATGACACGGAAAAGTTACAAATACAAAAGAAAGTGAGATTCCCAATAAAAGTTTGCCCATTGGAAGCAATGTAATTCTCTTTCTTCTCTCTATTTTTTCCGCATTCGTGAGAAAAATCAGTCACGTTTAAAGTATAGGTGGCGCTCTCTCCAATATCGGTATTTTGGTCGTGTGATGGACCAGGGAGGGTCAGGTTCATGGTGACCTCTTCCTTTCCGGACTGTGATTTACTACCGGTGAATGTTGGTTTTGATACAACAAGTGTGGTTTACTCCGACCCCTTTCAGGACAATGTCCATGTAGGTATCGACAGTTACATTCTGTGTTTTGCACTATATCTCTAGAGTCAGTTCCATAATGCACACAACACATTTCACTAGTTACAGGCTAATTGAATGCATTTTACATAAAATACCCTATTAAATGTATTGTTCTTAGGTTCTAGCTAGTGTAGGGTTTTAAAGCCTACTAATAGGTGGCCTTATTATATCTTTATTTCTAAAATATATATTCATTTAAAATCTTTAACAAGGGTTTACATTCAAATGTATAATGAAATATTATCATTTAAATCCCGTGTAAGTAAAAGTGTACGATACGTGTTTCTATTTACAATCTGGAAAAACAATAAATTTTTAGTATGGTTTTAAGCACACATTCATCTTTATTCATCTCAAAAATTTCCTTCCCCCAGTGGCTCAGTAGGAAGTTTGCGGACTTATAACGCTAAAAACCGATCTTCGATACTCGCGGTGGACATAGATAGCCGCCCCCCAGTAACACACCGGTATTTCTGTGGACTTACAACGCTAGAATCCGGGTTTCGATACCCGTGGTGGGCAGAGCACAGATAGCCCATTGTGTAGCTTTGTGCTTAATTACAAACAAAACAAACAAACATAGATAGCCCATTGT